TGGCTTTCCTTCTCTCTACATCCTTTCCAGCATTTGCTGGTTTGTTATCTCAGTCACTGATTGGAGTGAGTTGTCAGAGCTGTTGTGCTTTGCATTTCAGCAATGCTAAGGATGGTGTGGTGTTGTGACAGAAAGTCACCAAAGGGTGTTGCACTGTTAGCCGGGATGGCCTTGTTGGAGGAAGTGTGTCACCATGGAGGTGGGCTCTGAGCTCTCATTTATGCTCAGGATACTGCCCAGTGTCTCAGACCACTTCCTGTTGCCTGTGAGTCAAGGTGTAGGAGCTCTCAGCTCTTCTCTAGCACCATGTCTGCCTGCATGCTGCCTTGCTTCCTGTCAGAATGATAATGGACTGAACCTTTGAACTGTAGGCCACCACAATTAAATGTTTTCCTTTATAAGCATTACTGTGGTCATGGTGTCTCTTCACAGCAATAGAGGCCCTAACACAAATGGGCAACACATTTTGAGGTATTTGGTAGCCATTTTAATTTCTTCTTAATAAAACTCAGATTCATAGCCCATTTTTAATTGTTTTATTGTTGTCAATAAACCAATTGGGTCATTTGTTTTATTGACTTTGTTTTTTGAGTTCTTTGTATATTTTGGATACTGATAATGAAGCAGAGGTATAGCTGTCAAAATTGATTATTTCCTTTGTTGTACAGAAACCAACTTGTCACTTGGTGACCTTAATTCCTGGACATAATAGAGTCCTATTCAAAAATCCTTTTCTACACCTTCTGTAGGGTACCGCCTGTGTTTTCTTCTAGCAGTTTTAGCATTTCAGGTTTAAAATTGAAGTCTTTGATCCACTTAGAGTTAATTTTTGTGCAGGATGATAGATATGGATCAAATTACATTCCTTTGCATGTGAACATCCGGTTTCCTCAGTACTATTTGTTGAAGATGTTGTCTTTTCTCCAGTGTTTATTTTTGTTATTGCCAAATATCAATCAGATGGCTATAGTCACATGTACTCATGTTTGGGTCTTCTGTTTTACTCCATTGGTGTATATGTTTGTTTTTGTGCCATTACTATACTGTTTTTATTAATATATATAATATGCCTTGAAGTCTGGAATGGTAGTCCCTACAGTATTACTGTTTTTTTTTTTTCCCTCATGATTGCTTTTGCTATTTAGGGTCTTTTCTGGTTCCATGAGTATTTAAGGATTCTTTTCCTATTTCTGTGAAGAATGTTGTGTGTATGTATTTTGACTGGAATTGCATTGAACATGTAAATCTAACACAGACCACAAAACAAACCTTATCAAGTTCAGAAAAACTTAAATAATTCCATGCATCCTATGACTGTTGTGAAATAAAACTTAAAATTGACAGCAGAAACTCTCTCGTAAGTACATAAACTCATGGAGATTAAACAATTCATTACTGAATGATGAATGAGTCAAAGAAGAAATCAAGAAAGAAATAAGAGAATCTCTGGTACTAAATGAAAATGGAAACACAGAACAAAAACCTTTAGGGCACATTCAAGGTAAATCTAAGAAGGAAAGTTGTAGCTTAAAGTGCCTAGGTTAAAAGACCAGAGAGAGCACAAATAACTTAATGTTGCAACTACAACAGTGGGGTGTGATGCCACATGGCTCTGATCCCAGCACTGAGAGGAGAAGCCGGTGAGTCTGTTAGAGACCAGCTGTTCTACATAGAGTTTCAGGAGAGTCAGCCAGCCAGAATAGGTAAAAAGAACAAACCAAACTCAAATCAAGTAGATGGCAAGAAATGTAAGTCAAAGCAGAAATTAATGAAATAGAAGCAAAGAAAAAAAAAATCGGGAATGCAAGAGCTGATTCTGTGAGAAGCTAGACAGGTTCTTGGCCCAACTAACCAAATGAAGACATGCTCCAAATGGACTGAATCAAAAATAACAAGGGAACATTACAGCACCATCAAAGAAATTCAGAATATTGTAAGATAATACTTTTTTTTTAAAAAAAAACCTCTACTCCATTACATTGGAAAATCTAAAGGAAATGAAAGAATTTCTTGATTCAAACTAAGAAAGTTAAACCAGGAAAACATAAAAAACCTAAACAGCTATAATAAATAAGGAGATTGAAAGAGTAATAAAACTTTCTCCCCCTGTCCCCCAAAAGTTTAGGACTAGATGTTTTGCAGTAGTATTCTAGACTTTCAGAGATCTCTATTCAATTCTTAGATCATTAAAAAGAAAGGCAAACAACACTCACAAACTTACTCTATAAAGCCAGGAGTACTATTATATCAAAACCTGGTAAAACAACAAAAGAATAAAAACTACAGACTGATGTCCTAGATGAATACAGGTGCAAAAATGCTCAATAAAATACTAGTATATGAAAACAGGCATATATCAAGATCTTCCACTGTGATCAAGTTGGTTTTATTATCCCCAAAATGCAGGGATAGTCCAACATACTTAATAAATATAGTAAATTATATAAATGGACTTCAAGATCAGAATTACATGATTATTTCAATAGATGAAGAAAAACTGATGAAATCCAACAGTTTTATGATAAAAGACCTAGGAAGAGTAGGACTGGAGGGAATGTACCTCAAAGTAATAAAAGCTATAAAAGACAAACTCACAGCCAACATTATCTTAAATAGAGAAGATCTTGGAGCGGTCCCATTCAGGTCAGAAATAAGATGAGCTGTCCACTATTCCCACTTCTTTTCAAAACAGTGCTCAAAAATACTAGCTGAGCAATAAGGCAAATGGATACAAATAGGAAAAGAAGTCATATTATTTTGATTTGAAGGTGTTATGTTATACATAAGAGATCTTAAAGTTTCTACCACAAAAGTAGAAATGATTTCAGCAAAGAAGTAGGATATAAAATCAACTCAGAAAAATTAATAGCCTTTCTGTACACCAACAACAAACACAGAAAGATGGTGGGCACTCCCATCTAAATAACCTTCAAACACAATAAAACATCCTGGATTAAAACTAACCAAGGAGGGGGGAAAAGAACTCTACAAAGAAAAATTTAAATTTCTGAAGAGATTGAGAACGACTTATAATTGAAAGACATCCCATGTTCATGAAAGAGTAGAATTAATATTGTGAAAATGATCATCCCACCAAATAATTTTGTTTTTCTTCAAGACAGGGTTTCTCTGTGTAGCTTTGGAGCCTGTCCTGGAACTTGCTCTGTAGATCAGGCTGGTGTGGAACTCACTGAGATACATATCACTGTCTCTGCCTCCCAAGTGCTGGGATTAAAGGTGTGTGCCAATATCACCCAGCCCACCAAATAAATCTTAAAAAACACACACTACTAGTGATATCTCTGAATGGAGATAATTTGTGAGTAAGTGGTCAGGATTATAATAATAATCTTCACAGACAGGTAAAACAGGTAGGTACCAGTGATAAAATAATGTCTGCCCGTTTTGATAACAAGTTCTGGGAACTGCAGGTATCAGATGTGTATTACCAGCAACCCTTTGTTCCTCATCTGTGTAGATGCTCTAGGATTGTTTCTTGTAAAATCGAAAATGCTAAATAACCTCCTTAACTTCATTGGCTGGGAGGTCAGCTCCCAGGCAGCATCTGTCTATGCCCTGGGGTTATGATGTGGATTCTGTGGTTTGAATGAGAACGGCCCCTGTTACCTTCTATGTTTGAATGCTTGGCCCTCAGTTAGTGGGACCGTTTGGGAAGGGCTAGGAGGTGTGGCCTTGTTGAAGCAGTGTCTCTGGGAGTGAGTTTGAGATTTCAAAAGCCCATGCTAATCTCTGTCTGCTTGCTGTCTGGAGATGAGGACACACTGCTCTCAGCTACTGCTCCAGTGCTTGCCTGTCTGCTTCCTGCCACAGTGATCTCCAGCTGTCAGCGAGCTCCCTATTAAATGCTTTCTTTTGCCTAGACTACGGTGTCTCTTCCCAGACATAGAACAGTACCTTCAGATGCTTAGATCAGTATGTGACCTTGGTTCTCACCCAAGCACCTGTCCTTCACACTGTACCATGTGAGTGGTTGTGAAACCCAAGTTTCAGAGTGTGTCAAACTGTAAGGTGAGCCGTGCAGGGACTCGAGGCTTCTCAGCTCTGAACTGGAGAGGTTGTAGTCTGGGATCACAATGAAGGCAATCACTGAAACCAGTGGTGCCATTCCTGCCAGGGTGTATGTGTGCTCCTGTGGGATTACTGGTGCTTGGGGCCAGCATAGTGCTTAAGACTTGAGTGAACCCTGAGGATGCCATTATAGTTTTAATGTCAGAGTGATAATGTTAGTGAAAACTCTACAAACGACATAAGGGAAGCTGTGTAACGACTCAAGAAACTTTCCCCAAAAGACTTGAAAGGAATATTCTGAATTACCTATCAGTCTGAGTGTGGGTCCATTTTTCTCTTCCTTAAAATGGTAATAGCAGCACTTAGAAAATGTGCATGGGTTAAGTGAAAAAAAATGATGGCACCCGACAGACTCTGAGAGATGCCAGTCAGTCCTATGTTGTCAGGTCATCTTGCTACTGGCACCCAAACTCTCTCCCCTTATTCCAAACACAATTAAAGTGTATGTGGAGGTTTGAATGAGCATGGCGTCCATAGGCTCATATATTCGAATGCGTGGTCTCAGTTGGTGGGAAGGTTTGGGAAGGAATAGGAGGGTGTGGCCTTGGTGGTGTGTCACTAAGAGGTGGGTTTTCCAAAGCCTGCACCATTCCCGGTTAGCTGTCTGTCTTGTGCTTGTGAATCAGGTGTGAGTTCTCAACTGTGCTCCAGTGCCACACCCGCCCGCCTGCCTGCATGCTCCTTGCCATGATGGCCATGAACTCAGCCTCTGAAACTGCAAGCAAGTCCCCAGTTCAATGGTTTTATAATTTACTTTGGTCATGTTTCTTTACAGCAACAGACAGTAATGGAGAGGTATATCAGTAACACACATTGTTAACTCAAAAGCAAAAAAGTTTTTATTTTCTGATATATAAAACCAAAAACATTTAATATATAATGACATAGATTTTTATTTTTTCGAAAGAAGAAATAAAATGTGGGAGTAGAGTTTCGTTTAGATAAACACTCAGGCATCCACTAAACATGTAGCTCCTCATAAGCAACAGCTTGCAAAGGTCAGGTGGAACCTCTTCTGCTGTTTTTAGTTCCCTTGAGTAAACTGATTGACATCTGCCGAACAACTTAAGCATGGTGAGAAACAACTTTCCGTCTTGGTAGCAAACCCAGTGTACTCAACACAATATACCAAGCAATAGCTTAGCCAAGAACAACCCTTGTTTTGGTTCTGTAATACTTATAGTAACTAACACACATTGCAAACTACTGCAGCAACACATGAGACACTCTACACAGAGACTCAGGGAGCATCTTACTCTTGTGCTCAGAAACAAATGGTGGACAATCCTCGGCACACGACTGAGAAACAGACATGGACTGAGGAGACAATTCTTCAGCAAAAGCTACTTCTGCCCAACAAACAGTTCTCCAAGGGAAAAGAATTAAGTTCTTCACTTAAATTCCAGACAGCACAACACTGGGATGCAGTTTCCTTCTGCCATTCATGAAGTCAGGACAGTTCTGCCTCTGACCAGCAGGTGGGGCTCTCAACCTGCAAGGCTCAGAAGACACTTTAAAACCAGTATTTACATGAAAGATTCACTTGGTCAGTTTGTTCTCAGTTAATAAACACGTCATTCTCTCCCCGACACTGTATCCAAACAGAAAACACAATTCATATAAAATTTAATTGGGTCTGGCAATAATAAGCCTCTAAGAAGGTCTGAAAAGAGTATCTGTCAAAACTATTAAGATTCACGTGATTTGTTCTCCTTAAAGAAGAGCGTTCCTGCCCCTGACCACCAGTCAGCGTGCACTGACATGCTCCAGTCTCCTCTTATAAAAACAGGCAGCTGTTTTCAAAGCAAAGCTAACACGTACATCCCACCCCACCGCTGTGGGGCTTTAGGGGTGTGGTGTTTGTCCCTCATTTCTGCTGAAGACATCTTAAACCTGCGCTGGTCAGTCAACCCAAGGAAAACACTGCTGTAAACATTGGCTTTTACTCCCACGTGGCCTCGCTGGGCTCACTGTCAGCCGGCAGAGCAGCCGGCTTCTTAAACTCCCCGTCAGAGGCTGACAGCAATGGCAGCCGACCTGAGGCTGGGGCTCCGGGGTATAGGGCAGTGGGCTTTCTGAGCTGGCTGTAAACAATGTGAAAACAGGTTCTTCTGTGAGAAAATCCATCCTTAGACAGTTCCCGTTTTCCTGTCATAGCCACACTGGGTCTGTAGAGCGCTCAAGCATCACAAGATAGTTTTACACGAACTAGTTAAAAACATGAATTTTACTATTTTAAAAAAGTTATCTGTAGAGCTTCATTTTAAAAACAAGTATTTTAAAAAATACTCCCTGTACTTTAGTATTTTGTTTCACTCTGCAAAGGTTCTGGCCACGCACTGAGCTCAGAATATGTGCAGGTGTGTGTATTTTTAAGTTCCATGGAAAAATCCTATAAAAATAGACAGTTTTCTTGTCCAAAAGCTTAAATAAAGAATAGGACTTAGGAATGATGATGAAAAAAAAAAAGGAAAAAGTACACAATTATTTTTCTTATTTAAAATTGACATAAAAATGTAAAGTATTCCCTTTGGAGTCACTATACATCTAAGTACTACACGCTACTCGGCACTTGCCACCCATGGGTCTTGGGGCCACACAGTCTGTAGGGACCTCAGCCTGCCCAAGTGGCTCAGGTCCTAGAGAGTGATGGCTGGCCCGTGCTCCTCCACACCTCCTTGAGGGAGGACCAGGCTATGTCGGGGGTCTGGTTTCAGGGAGCTGAGAAATCTGTGGATACTGCCGTTGCTCTCCCGCCCAGAGCTATGCAGGACCATGTCCCTGTGCAGCCTGTGGGCAAGGCTGGTACCATTGGCCCTTGAGAGGCTGCCCGGAGGGATGGCCTGTGTCTTGGGAATGTGCTGAGGTTCCAGAGCCCCCTCAATGACGATGTCGGGTTCCTCGTCGCTCTCCATGTCTTCAGAGTGGAAATTCTGCAGGACGTGGGGGGCCGGCAGACTGTGGTGACTGGTGGTGCTGTCTGTGGACTGGGCAGAGCTACCAGATGTGCGGCTGCTGCGGACCACATTGTTCCTTTGGTTGGCAGGCTTGACGGTGACAATGAGGTTGTGGCTGTTGGCAATCATCATGTCTGTGACTTGATCCAGTGTCTTTCCAGCTACCTCAATCCCATTCACCTCCAAGACTTCGTCATTCACAGCCAGTAGCCCAGTACTCTCTGCAAGGCCCCCAGGCACCATCCGGGAAATGAAGATACCCGGGACTTTCTCTAGCCCGTGGGGGGTCACACGCACGCTGGTACCATCCCGAATGTAGAAGCCCAGCGGCTTTTCGCAGCCATGTCTGTAGAGCCTCACTCGGCGGTGTGTCTCAGGGAGGATGTCCACATCAATGATGGACGACACCGGGCGGAAGTCATGTGGCATGCTGATGTTGAGGTGTGTCCGCCGACGCAGGCCCTCATCCCTCAGGGTCACCAGCACCTTTTTCTTCCTCGATAGAGTACCTGTTCCGAAGCTGTAGTGGTCTGCCTCTTCTGAAACAGTCCAGAGAGAGGAAAGTGAGCAGTGTCTCACACGCGGGCAGAAAAGGGCATGAGTGTTGCAGCATGGGGGAGGGGGGCGGGGCATGTCCACTGTTCTCAAGCAGCCCAGGTTTTTCTCCACCTGCCTTGTAACTGCATCCCCAGTCTGAATCCCGGAAGTACTCTCTCTGGGACTTGATGTGCAGAAACACTGGGTGATCAGGAATTACCTCCCTTCCCATTGTTTACCTCCAAACTAGCCCCAGGTCATAAAACCAAAGTACTTAGAGGAGAAGAGGTGGAAAAAAAGAGCCTGCAATGAAGAGAATTAGCAAAAGAGAGAAGAGTTAAACATCTGGAAAACTGGCAAAATCAAAAGCAGGTCAACCTACAGCAGGGCCTTGGCTGCAAGAAACTTCTGCAAACGAAGGTTAACCACAGCAGGGCCTGGTTGCAAGAAACACCCACAGATATACGGCTGGACTGGGGGGCTTAAAAATATCCACCAAGTTTACAAATGACCCTTTTTGTTTCACCTTCCAGCTGCTGGGGCAGAGAACACGGTCTATCTTAGGTTAACCCTCTCCTCTTGTGAGCGCCCTGGTGCCAGCAGCACTCCAGCCCTGGCAGAAGGCATCTCCTAGGGAATTGTTTTTGACTGTTTTGGATCAGTGGCCCATGAGGTGTGTGACAGCACCTTTCACCAGCAGGGTGACAGACCACTGTGAGATAAAACATGAATTAGCTGGCCTGGGTATGCTGAGGGAGTAGCCTGCTCTAAAGCACAGTTTTTAAAAGATGAAAGGCAGTAGCCCGGTGTTTGGGAATGCTGAAGAGAGCATCTGCTCAGGTTAGAAAAACACAGCACATTTATTTTTCTATTAAGACTTTTATATTTGACACGTGAGGCCATAGAAGAAAGCACATTGGGACTCAGATCAAAGGCCTCAATCCCCATGGCTCGCCTCCCTGGATACACAAGTGTCCATTTTATACACTGCTCCCGTGGAGTCTGCGCCTCATGGTGGCCTCCTCTGCATGGACTTGGGATGGTGTGGTGCCTGTCTTTGCCAATAAAAACCTGGCTAGGAAACTGTTTCTCTTCCCAATACTCCTCTCATCAAAGCCTGACCATTTCTCAGACCCATGCCCTTACAGCAAGACACCAAGAGGTGACCCGCTCATGCCCTGTGTCCCAGCAGTCTTTCTAATACTGGCTTTCTCGCTGGCGTGTCTGTAAAAGATAGAAGATTGATGGAACAAAAAGAACCAGGCCACAGGCAGGGAAGACTGGATAAGATGAAAGAAAAGGAGATCTGTGGGAGGTCCTTCTGTCTATGTGTTGCTTTTATTTGTTAATGAGTAAAGAAACTGCCTTGGTCTGTTGATAGGGCAGAACTTAGGTAGGTGGGGAAAACTAGACTGAATGCTGGAAGAAGGAAGGCAGAGAGGGAGACAGACGCTGGGAATTTTACCTGGTAAGCCACAGCCAACTGACAATATACAGATTAATAGAAATGGGTTGAATTAATATAAGAGTTAGCCAATAAGAAGCTAAATCTAATGGGCTAAGTGGTGATTTAATAGTACAGTTTCGGTGTGATTATTTCAGTTCTGGGCGGCCAGGACAAACAAGCGACTCCTTGCAACAGAGAACAGAGAAGAAACAGCCTGGAAGTTAGCAAGGCAGTCCCAACACCTAGGGAAACTTCTTGTCATTCATCCTGGAAGAAGACTAGTGGGGAAGTCTGGAAACTTGACATGGAGAGGAAACCTGAAGCCAGGAGGGCTAGTGCCAAAGAGGACAACATCTAGGTTACGAAGCCCCACTGCAGCCGAGACCCTTCTTGGGCAGAGACCCACATCTGGTAGTGTCACTTGGTCGTGTGCTGAAGGCTGTGTGCAAGAGGAAGCACCGGCCTTCCGTCAGGGCTGGAAGAAAAGCTCCCGCTACGGTCACATAGCAGTTGGGAAGAACTGTGGCACCTTCATGGCTAAGTGTCAGGAACTGCCGTTACTACCTGTAGGAGGTACTGCCTGAAGCCAGAAGCAAGGCCAGCCCTGGAGTCAGCACTGGGCTGACTGTGAGCCTGCTGCTCCAGAGAGAGCCTCACACAGTCACTGAGCCAGAGCTTGGAGCGGGTTTCTGGAAGCCGGCAAGCAATGATTTGTGGTGTGTGACTCAACTCCTTCCCTCACCTGAGCTCCTCTGCACAGGACACCCCAGAAGCTTATCACTGGCACCCCACAAGCACCAGCATCTGTGATGTGAAGAGCCCCGGACACCACACCGGGGCAGCATCAAGCAGCAGCAGCTATGGAAATCCAGGAAGGCGAGACCTGAGACCTGGAGGAAGAGGTGTGAACGTGCTGCGCAGTGCGGGGAGAGCAGAAGGCTGTGGACTTGCAAATTTCCCCAGACCTGAAGCCGGTCCTCAGCCCCACAGCTTCACAGGGCCAGGTATTGCTCTAACACATGGGACATGAACGTGTGCTCCAAATTTCTCACCAAGAACCTAATTAATTGGATGCATTTTATCTGTTTCTTTAAAAGTTATTATCTGCTTGAAGGCGGGACTTTTGCCTCTCCCATAAAGTGGGACCTGGAGCACTAAGACATTGGGCCTCTTATGTTGGAGACCCTGAAATTAAAAGCAGTAAGACTCAACAAATCAGGTTCCCTAACTTTTGGCTTCTAAGGTGTTGGGTAGAACCTAGTGTCCAGCCCTTGTGTCTCTGGCCCTGATCCCGTATTTCTAGCTCCCACGTTCATTTATCTATGAACCAGGCAGCTTCAGTAGATCTAAAGCTGACAAAGCAGCTGTTCCCTTTAGGACCCATCATGCCGACCAACCGAGCATTCTCACTTTTCGGCATAAGATGCTGCTCCACAGGCACAGAGGGAATTTATAGGACTGTGCTCTGCTGCAGGTACCCTGCTGCAGTTCCCAGGATGGTGATGTCATGTGTGAGATGCATGTGCTAAATGCATACGAAGGGCTGGGGCAGGGCACAGCTCTGAACGTAGCACGCAATGAGGTTAGGCATATCCAGAGGGGTATGGCAGCAAGCCTGGAGCTGGTGCTCCTGGCATCTGCAGAGTGGGCAGATCCCATGAAAGGGCAGAATGGTGCACTACTGTCTGATATCCAGGAGCCCTTAGAAGAGGCTCCCCCAAGTGGAGCAGGTGCCATTAGTGCTCCCTGGCTTCTCCACACCAACTTCCTTCAGGCCGGTTCTGGAAACAAGTCCTACCGTGGATGGGGGCTTGTCTCAGATGTTCTCATGCTGCCTGTGGGGGATGTGACAACAGAGGATGTGTGCCCCTGCAGAGTGGTCAGGGCTCACGGGGCAGGACTTGCGCTTTCCCTGTGTAGTGTGCTGTGCTGGCTGACTATGCTCCAGAGTGCTAGCCTGGGTCTAGGACCAATGCAGCGAGGAGGGCTAAGCTCCAGGTTATAGCTCCACGTTACAGTTGTATCTGAGAACCATGAGCTGGAATGTCGGAGGCCATGCCTACCACTGGCAAATGGCTGTGTGAGAAAAGGGCATGCAGGCTTCTGGATAGGAAACAATCGAGTGAAGTGTTCTGGGGACGCAGACAGACGCCTCAGGAGGTGAAGCAGTGTGTATGTGAGTCTGGCCTTTCTGAACTCTGGGGGAAATGGTCCACTCTCGACACACCCTGGACTGTCTTCCCAGCAGCTGTGTGCGGAACACCCAATCCCTGGCTGCTCCAGGACATCAGTGAAGGAGGGAGGTGAGCTGGAGCCACAGTCTGGCATGCAGGGTTTTCAGACAGCAATGGGTTTCTGTCTCTTTTTAATATAAACCACCACACATGGACTTTATTTGTAAAAAATCCCAAACTCTCTAAAAATAAAAAAGTTCTAAAGAATGCCCCATTCCTAAAATTCCAACCTTGGTTTCTGAAATAAATACCTTTTAAAAGAGAAAGCCTGTCATAGCTTCTTCACCAAGCAATATGCTAAACCTTCTATTTTCTACAAGCAAACAATTAAAAGAATTTCAACTTTTTGAGCTGAATATATCTTGTTTTCCCTCCTATTTCCTTTTTCTTCTTCTTTCTTTCTTTCTTTCTTTCTTTCTTTTTTTTTTTTTTTTTAAAAAAAAACTTGTTTCAAGATGGCCTCAATAAAAGGACATGGATAGAAAAGGAAGTTTGACCCTGGAAAAACTCTGGTGGATATAGGTCCTCAAGAAGCTTTTAAAGAGGGATTTTCTTACAGACAACTCCTTATACATGTCTTTGGCATGGCTAAACTGTCCCTAATGCTGAGTCAAGCCTTTTCTTGGTGAGGAGAAACCTGCCTCTTTCAGGACTCTGGGGCCATGCTCCTGGACAGCGCCTGTTTACTGGACTTCCCAAAGGGCAAGAACAGGAAGATACCCCTCCTCATGTGCTGGTCTCCTCCAGGGAAGGCAGTTGTTGCTTCTGGGTCTGGGGAAACCTACAGCTTGGCATCAAGCTGGTCCTGCTGAGTTCTCGTAAAGACCCCCTTTAATTATCCACTCGTCATGTTGGATGAGGATCAGAATGGGCGTCAAAGTCTACTTCAGACTGCTGCTGTGTATCATGGCCGTAGACAGAAAACCCGAGAGAGGCTGACTCACTGATGCCACGTCTAACAATGGATGGAGGTGAGGTCCCAGCCTGGCAATGAGCCACCCACAACCTGTACCATGAAACCCAATGGGGCAGCCTGGCAGCCCCAGGCAGCGTTCTCTGTACGCAGCTGCCGAGGATTACACTGCCTCTTGGCTCCTAAGGAGACTCACCTGACCACTTCAGCCTCCACTGCCCTGGAATTCCTGGCTGCACCAGACAGAAACGTCTGGAATCGCCAATCATCCTGGTCTAGGCCCTGGGGCACCTGCATGTTTGCACAGGCTGTTTCTAAGCAGCAGTGAGCTTCAGGCCAGGGCTCAGGCTCTGGAGCCGCTGCGTTGGTCTCGCCACGGGTGAAGCAGGACCATCTGCTCCATGACCT